ACATGCTGTTCATCTGCCGGGTAACAAACAGTACATACTGCAGAATGAAAGCAGTTATGTACGTGTGTTGGTTCATTTCCATTTTTAAGTTGAGTTCTGGTGTGCTTTGTTTTTATGGAAGATCCTTTTTTCTCCTCAAACATGGACACTAGGCAATATAAAAGTATATACATTAGGGAGATGGGAAAAGTAGCTTGTGTCCAAATCAGGTATTGACATACAGCATATTTTACCTTTCAGAGTAAATGAGACTTCATGCCTTTTCCAATAAGCAAAAACAAAACTTTATAATCCTATTACATAGAGCATTTTCATTTGTTGATCAAAAGCCAGCCAATTTTCTCTGGCTAATATCTAACTTTCAGTAAAAATTAATTTTGACATTTTTCCTATTGAATTTGCCAAATGCCTCCTTCTTCTCCAGGGTCTGTGATGAAGCCTACACCTGAACAGTGGAAGTTAAGGATCCTTCATCTAGTGTCTAGGTGACTCAGCATCAAATCCTGTGTTGACATTATTTTGGACTTCCAGAACTCAATTCGCTGGGATTGAGATCTTGATCATGGTTTCATTGTCTGCTCCACATTCAGCTTTTCTAAAACCTAGAGACTAGCATAGTTCATACAACTTCTCCCAGGCACCCTAGTCTTGTGCCAATGCTCTCTGTTGCCATAGTTTTCAATGCTGTCATCTTTTGAAATCTCAGCAAATTACTTGCACCCAGTTCATCTGCCGGGTAACAAACAGTACATACTGCAGAATGAGCCCTCTCACATACCACATACCGTCAATTTCTCATCTCCATAACAAATTTAGCTGATATGACTTATTAGTTTTCAACTTTTATTGTACATACCAAGAATGGGCTTCACTTCCTAACCAAGAAGAAAATCTGTGAGATGAAACCAAGTATCTGTGGTGAAATCTCTCCCACTGATTCTGAAATTCAGACAGGGATGAGGAAGCTGAAGATAAAGTAAAGTAAGTGATACAAAAATACAAGGGTCTCTGAAAAGATTCAGTGGTAAGGGTAATGTTTTAATGCAATATTTTTTAAAAAACAAAATTAATACAGAATAATTCATAGTAAACAAAATATATAAATGTTAAGTAAAGGACCAGTACTTGGAGCCTGTGGCAAAAGGGAAAATTTATAATACGGAGTCTATCTTTATTTAAAATTTTGATGATTTATTCATCATAGACACTTTTACACTAAATTTGATACTTTAAATTTTTTTCAACAAAATATTAATCATCTTGATTACTGAGGTTTTTAACATCCTCTTAAATTTTGTCCTCTCCTTATACTGGTCTGTGTCAATCAAACCAGTGACTAAGCCTTCTTGCCCCCTAACTACAACGAGGTAAACAACTTTGCTCTCTCTTGCCCTTTTACCTGGAACCAATGGAGTCAGGAACTAACAATGGACTGAAACCTCTGAAACTGTGAGCCAAAATAAATTATTTTTCCTATAAGTTGTTTTTCTCAGGTATTTTGTAACAACAACAAAAAGCTGACTAATATAAATGCAAGTAATCATTTATCTGTTAAAAGATTTGTGATGACCAGAGATAACCTTAGATAGGTAGCTAAGACCACATCCAGAGATAAAGACAATGTTTTTCTGAATTGCTGTTGTAGAGACAGGACATCCCAGAAGATATGGTATCATGTCAACCAGTGTGTCTCAGGAACAGAGATTTGGCTAAATGGATGTTTTCTTGGGGGTAACCAGGAAAGGGAAAACTGGACACCATGAGCAAGTTATCTAATTGTAATGAAAAGGTGGGTAAAAGTGCTAAATCTTTCCTCAAGCTCAAGGGAAAAGTCCAAGGCCAGACCCATGGGGAGAAGTGGTGGTGGAGAAAGGGGATGTCCTGGATGGGCATCCAAAGACATTCTTACAGGGGAGCCTGTGAAATCTGATGTTCTTTCTCAATGCCAGCCTAGGAGTATGTAGGCAAGAAGGCCTATGCAAAGGCACAAGGTCAGAGACCACAGGCTTTAGAAAGTGGACTTGAAAAGTATAGGCAATGTTGTGGTTTGCCATCTATATATAGTTCTGGGTGCGACTTACCTGCTTTTTTTCAAAACAGATACCCCATGACCTTTTTTTTCCAAAGACGCATTTAATCTAGTCAGAAACACTAAAAGACAGAGACCATAGTTGGCTAAAATTTAAGATATTATTGTGAGGAAAAAGAATCTTAACTTAAATGTAAAGTTCATTCAAATTTTACCCTATTTTGGTGTGGTTCATTGAATATAGGGAATATATATTAGATATTTTCTAATGGAGGTTTACAAACAAAAACTTACCATAGGAATTCTAATTACTTAGAAAATATAATTTTGCAAAGTTCATGAAGTTGGACCATAATAAACTGGCAAGTCTGGGAAGGTAAAATCAGAAATGTGACCTGTCCAGAGTGGAAAGCACAAGTGAAGGAGGAGGAGGAGCCAAGGTCAGTGTCAGTCACCTTAGCACAGGAGAGACTAGATACCTGGCCTGGATGTCATCAGGTGACTCTCATCACATTGTTACAACTCTGCATGGCCAAAGTAGAATCATAAAATCACCCCTGCAATCCCCAAATCCTTGCCTTTTGCCACAGCTGAGACTTGTACAACCTGTCACCTCTAGCCAGAATGTCTTTTCACCCTCCCCACATATCAGAAGAGCTGTGCTTTCCTTCAAGACTGTCCTCAGGTGTTACCTTGCTTGGGAACCCTCCCTGTCCCTCAGTTCACTGTCTTCACCCCTGATATGTGCCTTCCCTTCATAACCAAACCCTCTGAGCATGATTTTAGTTCTGCTTCTCTCAACATTCATGATTTATCTGAAGATAAAAATGAAATTTTATGTCCTAGTGCCTGGACATTAAAGTGCATAGTAGGAGCTTAACTACTGTGCATTAAAAGAATAGAGACCCATAATATTAAAACAGAATAAAAGTGCTGAAAAAAATCAATAAAGAAGATTTAAAGTAGGAGTGGAATTGAAAAGGCAAACAGCACTGTAGATGTTCACTCTGCTCATCTTTTTTAATGATATGTACTGTAGAAATCAGACCATACTACTTAGGTGGCTGAAGGTTGATTAAAATCGCTGGGAGAATGATAAGGGAAGATATGATTTATCAAGTAGGACTTTCAAGGGATATTGTGAGTTGGAGGCAGTAGGGTCAAGGGGAAGTAGGGAGGTGATGCCTTTATTGTAGGAAGTATTTTTTTTATTATTCCGAGTAGCAGAGAATTAGGCAAGAAGCAACTATTCGGAGTAACCTCTATCCTCTAGGCCATGGGGAGTGGTAAAGGGGTCTCCATCTCCAGTCACAGAAGGTCAGGAAAAGTTCTACTTAGAATAAAAGAATTTGCATTTGGCTGGTATCCTCCCTTGATTCTCTCAGGAACGTGGGTATGATACAGGGGCCATGCTCCAGTGGCAACAGGGGCTTGGTATGCATGTCAGCCTGAAGCTAGCACGTATGGCAGATAAGAGGGAGGTGGCTTGGTGTGAAGAAGATAGGAGAGGACACATTCTGTCTTCTACAAGGACCCTTAGAATCTCAGACCCTCAGCCACTACTCAGCCTCGGGTGACTGTTTCTAAGCAGGACTGAGGACCCATGAAGGCTAGACCTTTCCAATTTTATGAGAAAAATTCTAATTTAGCATTCAATTTCTATCCCAATTTCTTAAAGGTAAAAAATGATCTAATTATTTTAAATCATATTGATCCTGTCTTGTGCAGGACAAACATTACATGTCTGAATGTGACTTATGGGTCATTAATTTATACCTACAGATAATATGGAAGGAGACATGGGTACCCAAGGATTACTTTGTAGTTCAGAGGTTAGGAGTCACTTGGTATGATCCAGAACGTCACCTTCTCTCTTTACTATCTGACTTGAGATATTTTTTTTGATATTGTTAGAGTCCTGTCTACTCAAAATGGACTCTTCTACTGACATCTTCTAGAGGGAAGAGCATCTGAACTTTTTTAAAATAATCAGTTCACCACACAGGAAATCTTGCTAAGGGATATTTTCATTGTAAGTTAAGATAAAAGTAAATGAACATTAATATTTGGTGCATTCAGTGGGTGTCTGAAGAAAAAAGACATGTTTTCTGTGCTTCATGAAAAGGTACAGATTTGCCAATGGTCTACTTTAGAGAAATAAAAATACAGCCAAAGTACACTTTTCTTTAAAAAATGGATCTATAAAGTTCCATTTCAGACATGTGGTACCAGAGTGACACTGGGCTGGAATTCTACTAGATGATTTTCCACCTAGAATTAAATCAAGACAATCCATGGCCGGGTATTCATGTGCTTGGTAGTCCTGAGGATTGAAGAAAGGGGAAAGGCACCCAGAGCAGTTAGAGCCAGAGCTGAAAGCCAAACTCAACACATCATGTGCAGGTTTCAATCGATGCTTTTAGCTTGAATCATTTTTTTAAAATTATAATTTTATAATCCTCAGAAGATTACAGTGGGAATGGTTTGAAATCAATTTTAACTCATTTTCCATTCATACAATATTAGAAGAGAGAGCTGATTTTACTGATTCCATGGAGAAACATTCTCAGAGTTTCTATAGTAGAGAAAGAAGCTGATTTCGGTGCAGACAGATATTTCAAGTTTCAAGGGCTGTGTCTAGACTGAACAGGTTTTGCTACCCCCAAAAATCCTGTGTCAGGCAAGGAATGGGATTATATTTCAGGGAAGCTCAGGTACTGGAGTTTCTGCAGAACTTAGAGGACCAGCAACTACAAGACAAGCTGCTTCCGGACCCCTTGCCTGTGATTTCAGCCTTTCCCATTGAGAACTGTATTACCAACACACTTAAAAGTAAATCCTTCAAGAGGAGAAGATTATAAATCAGCCAGAACTGACAGGCACAAGTGAGTGTGTGTGTGTGTGTGTGTGTGTGAGTGCATGTGCGTGCGCGCTCATATGTGTGTTTGAGCCAGAGCGCGTGTGAGCTCTCATTAGGGGACGATCTATGATTTGACAGCCTGGCGGCTGCTCCTGCTGCTGCTTCTACTGCTGCTGCTGCGTCTGCATGGTCTGTCATGAGTTGAAAAGGGCTGCGAGGGTTGAGAGGAACTGCAGCTCTGAAGGCTGAACGCTGCTAAGTGGTCTCCCTGTCAGTGTAGAGGAGATTTTCTGCAGGATTAGAAACTTGGACCTATTACCACTTCATCTACCCGGAAAAGCAGGCAGTGCGAGAGAGGAAAAGGTAAGAGAAGAAATTATTCTCTGTTGAGTATGGGGGACGGGGGACGTGGGAAATTGTAGTTTTGAAGCCTTACTGTTGTATACCAAAGAGATCTTAACCCCTGAGAGCAAGGGAGGCCACAGCTAAATTCCTACCGAGCTTGACCCTGGAGCTTCTTGCCTTCACATCGTACCTCGAACCCTTTCTTCTTTATTATACTTTTCCCAAGGATGTGAGAGGTTTCTTTGTATTTATTTTTAGCTAGCATATATTGTTTAGTTTTTCACTTGGGCACTGTTTCAAAAAGGAGCTTTCTGTTTCCTTTTTTTTTTTAAAGCATTTTCCTTGATGAAGAGGAAACTGATCCTACACTAGTTGCAATAAAAGAAGTTTTCCAAAGTGCATAGGATCCCTGTGACTGTGGGAAAACAAGGTGAAAGGAGAGGGAGAGAGAGTTGCCTGTGAATGAACATGTACATAACCTTTCACAGGGGCTAGAACCACTGCAATAAAGGTGGACGCTGAAAGATGTTTTAAGAAGTGCTTCAGAGAAACTTCAAGCCACGAAAGATGGAGAATGAAACAGTAAGTGAACTGAACCAAACCCAGCTTCAACCACAAGCCGTGGTGGCCCTAGAATACCAAGTGGTCACCATCTTACTTGTGCTCATTATTTGTGGTCTGGGCATCGTGGGAAACATCATGGTGGTCTTGGTGGTCATGAGAACCAAGCACATGAGGACCCCCACAAACTGCTACCTCGTAAGTCTGGCAGTGGCCGATCTCATGGTCCTAGTGGCTGCTGGCCTCCCCAACATAACAGACAGTATCTATGGTTCCTGGGTCTATGGCTACGTCGGATGCCTCTGCATTACTTACCTCCAGTACTTGGGAATTAATGCATCCTCCTGCTCGATCACAGCCTTTACCATTGAAAGGTATATAGCAATCTGTCACCCCATCAAAGCCCAGTTCCTCTGCACATTTTCCAGAGCCAAAAAGATCATCATCTTTGTCTGGGCTTTCACCTCCATCTACTGCATGCTCTGGTTTTTCTTGCTGGATCTCAACATTAGCACCTACAAAGATGCTATTGTGGTGTCCTGTGGCTACAAGATCTCCAGGAATTACTACTCACCTATTTACCTAATGGACTTTGGTGTCTTTTATGTGGTGCCAATGATCCTGGCCACTGTCCTCTATGGATTCATAGCAAGAATCCTATTCTTAAATCCCATTCCTTCTGACCCTAAAGAAAACTCTAAGACATGGAAAAATGACTCAACCCATCAGAACAAGAATTTGAATTTAAATACCTCTAACAGATGTTTCAACAGCACAGTATCTTCAAGGAAGCAGGTAAGCAAAGCCGAACCTCCAAGTCAATAGAGGAAATGTGGAATAAAGTTCCTTGTGAGATGGGATCAACTTTGCCCTACTTAGCTGATGGGAAACCAAAATGCAATCATGCAAATGTTTCACAGTGTAAGCCTCTGCTTTACATATTAAATCCATCTCTAAAGCAACTGGAGATCTAAAAATAGATGGGGGAAAATTCAATAGCACACCAGTAGATATCAGTTCAGGTACTATTAAGATATAAGGAACTGTTAATAGAAACTCTAGAAATCCACCTTTAAAATATTTGTGCCTCTATGGAAATGTTATCAGAATATTTGGGCCATTTCCGGCTTCTATAGGAAAAAATTCTATTGCATGACAAAGGATTAACTTTAAGAATTCTATTGCACCACAAAGTTAACAAGAGAGTTTAGAGAGTAATTGAGTCAAAATAATGAAACTTTGCTTGCTATTCTATAGTTACCCACAACTGAGATACATAACTGAGTCATCTGGACATAATTTTGTTCATCTTGCTGGGGGTGTATTCTCTTACCTTTTCCTCTAGATCCCTCCAAAGTGTCCCAGGTTGCAGAAGCTAAAAAAGCATTTTGTTCAGGAAATGTTCTAACAAAAGGGCCAACATTAAGCTGAATTCATTATAAAGAAGTAAAATTTTCTTAAATGTTTGTTTTTCTGACCAAGCATAACCAAAAACCCCTTTATTCTTTCAGATAACCAGAATGCCCATTTTCTTATGACTGAACGTGGTTTTGTTAGCAAATGAGGTGTAAGTTCATTACAGTAGATACTATTTATAAGACAATATAAGAATAAAATGTTTTTACATTATGCACACATTTATATATATTTACACAATGGTTCTAAGCACTTACAAACTTAGCTTTTAGATCCTTTCCTTCTTTGTTGAACATAATAAACAAATGATAAACATGTATTGTCATTGCTAAAAGAGAAAACATGAAATTAAAAATACTAGTTCTTTCAAGTGGCTTGAATCCCACCCCACCCCACCTGCCGCTGCCCCTTTCTCTCTCTCTTTCTCCTGCAAGGAATACAGTGTGCATAGATAGAACCTGAGTGTACTTTTTAAAGTACAAATATGGATCATTTACACTACGACTTCCTAAGTTCTAGGCTAGCTAATATATGAAGAATTGTAACTGAATATATATGTATACATATATAAATACACACTACTAAAATGTAGATGCTTTAGACATTTAGATAGACACAAAATAATTAATAAACTATAACAAAAAAACTTATGCAACATTATAAATGATACTGCAATTCTTGATTCAGATAACATTTGTTATTAAAGCCACCCAGATAATAGAAGACCTGAGCAATTATTTCTAGTTCTTAGATTCCCGTGGCTTTGGATCTAGCAATGCTACCTAATATGTGTATTTAGCCCTTTACTACCCAAAATTTGAATAATTAAAATGTAGAAAGATCTGTTGATCATCTGCTCAGACAAATATTAAGAATGCAATAAGAGAGTAAAGAATATGTGCATCTCAATTAGAAACCAAACATGGGTTAACATTTGCAGCAAAGACAGTCAGTGAGAAAATTCATTCATTAGACTCCAATTTATATTCTTGTTATAAATTCTAGAAAATAAAATGTTTGTCTGGTCTAACGTCCTTTCTTTCAATTACAGTCATTAGTACCTATCAGCATTAATAATGCACTTTAAATTGCTAATTAGGTTACATGTTCACAGTGTTATTTCAAAGCTATCTTTATAGAGGCTGTGTGATAGAAGAAAAAGGTAAAGATTTGGCTCCAAACAACTCCAGGCTTAAATGCCAGAATCCCAGTCAACCTATATGACCTTGGAAAAATGGGACTCTCTGAGCTTGTTTCTCCATAATAGCAACACCAGGATCTGTGTGAGGGTCCAGTGAATTATCTTATAAACACACCTAAAGTGGAATAATGACTAACACCTCAGTGCTAATTATGTTCCTTTCTACCTTTTAAAATATCTTGTGCAACTCTATGGGAACTATGATTTGTTCTTTAAAATATGCATTCATTGTTAAAGATTATTTGTTGAGCCAATACATAAACGGTATAGTAACTTCTCTAAAGAACTTTTCGGAGCATTTGGAAATGTATTCAGAACATTGGGGGTTGTCACCATAACATCAGGGTCAGCAAGTAGGAGTCAGGGATGCCAAATGTCACACCATGTGTAAGACAGCCCTGCACCATGATGAAGTGAACCATTATAAATACCAATAACACCCTCGTTTAGAAACACGGGATGACATATAAGTCAATAGGAGTGTGTTTAGGTGTGTCATGTAATTCAATCTTGATTATAGATGGGATGGGAGTTTGGATAGGGTGGCAGGGATCATAGAAGTCTACATGGAAGATGTGGCATTTGAAAAGCAAAAGTGAGAGGGAGAGCACTCCATGCAAAAGAGACACGACATGGTGGCTGGATTAAAAATGGTATAGGTTCGAAAAGAGGACAAGAAGGGGCACAAAAAGTAGGGTCAACTTGGTTGACTTTAAATGAATAATGTGTTTGAGGAGACAGTAAAAATAAGATTGAAATGATAGAAATGTCTATGAGAGAGAAAGAGAGACCTGGAGGACCCAACCATGACACACAGAGAGAGGAATCTGAATCTAATGCAGAAGCAACAAAAGATGTGAGTAGTGAGCAGGGAGCAGCAAAGATGAAAGTGGTGTCTGAATGTGAGATATCTGACAGCTACAGGCAAAGGCAGTTCTGAAGGCCTGCAGGCTGGTGGCAGAAAGACCTCTATGGAGGCTATTAGTAGTGATGCAGGCTTAACATAGTAAGATCCTCTATCAGGAGAATTTAAATTAAGATATAACCCAAGAGGCATTTCAAAGAAAGAATGAGTGTACTATGAAAACATTAGACACGAAGGATGAGGAGAAGGCAATTCAATATGACACCAGAGTTCCACATTTGGAAGAATGGTGTCACCCTTTGTGAATGGGAACGTAAGCTAGGAAGGGAAGTTAGTTTGGGCCAAAAGGAGTGACCCATGATCTGCATTTTCCCTTTTCTGAAACAGCTCTTTTCTTAAATTTTCATAAGTTTCAAACCTCTAACTTCTATAACCCAAGGAATTTTAATATTTTTTTTCCTACATATTTTCTTTTAGGCAAGTTTAATTTACATTTTAATAAATACTCTTCTGAGCCAGGTCTTTCTAACCAAGTTATTAAAGTCTAATATGCATAGCCTAAAGGAGCTACATTTTTAAAAGGAAATAAGAAAACATTTATCTGTAAAGGACAAATATGAGTTTTTGTTTGCTTATTTATTTTTAACTCACATCCCTCACATAGCAAACCCAGGCCAGAATCTCTTTCTTCCTCTTATTTAGAGATTCAATTATATTTTAGGAAACCACCTTAATATCAGGTAAAATCAATAAAGTAAATTACTCAAATTTATGATTTGAAAATGAGTAGAAAAAAGAATTATCTGACTGATTAAATATTTTGCGTTATAATTGGACGTTTTGATTTTGAAGGGGCACAGTTTAAATGACCACATTTGTTATATTCCAGCTCTGTGTATACAATGCCGAAAGATCCCTTAGCTCCGTGAGCATTATGTAGATGAAACATCTCTATCATTGACTGTATAAGTCTATTTAATTGGTTGGTTCTTTTGGTATTTTGAAATCACAAAACACTGGAACCTCTTGGTAAAAGGCTATAATGTGAATACTTCAATTTGAATATTTGTTTCCACAGGATGCAGGGATATGTACTCAGACTGTCTTAGAGATCAGGTTTCCAATTTTTATCTTCAGTAGAGTCTCTGGTGTCTTTTTCTTTTCTTATAGTATAACTGTAGGGAAACAAGAGCAGTCCTAATAGAGGGTCCAAGAACTTATGGCAAAAACTTTATTAGTGGCTTTATTTAACAAATCAATCCTTAAAAGTAGCGATTTTTATTCCTATAAAATGCTTTAAAGATGTCTACCCAACTAGAAAGAAGGTTGATAGCCCAAGAAACAAAAACTTCCCTTTTTAAAGCAATATATGCCTTTTTGGTGATGATATTAAATTAATCATGTGTATTATAGAAAACAGAAAACTAGGGAAAAGGAGAAAAAAAACAAAAAAAAGGCATCTCTTACCCCTCCTCTCAAAGACCAAAATCACTACCACATTGTCGTCTCTTCCTGTTTTGGTCGGATCATTTTTTAGATTGTGATAGTCAGAATATAGATACACTTGCTTCCTGCTTTGTCATACAACATAATGGGATTATTATTCTCAAAGAGAACACACAGAGTAAAAGAAACTGATTAGGTCCATTACTCTAAACCTCAGTTTTCTCATCATTAAAATGGGCAAAACAATTACCTCTTACCTCGCAGAGTTACTGCTGAGATCAAATAAGACATATCAGAAAAAAACTCATACTTGCTCTCTTCCTGTTTAATTAGATCCTCTTCTCTCCTGCCTGTGATCCTCCATGACCCCATCTGGTGCCCTCACGACCCTCTCTTAAGCCATCCCCGTTCACAGGCTGTGCTTGAAGAATGCTGAAATAATGAAATGGCTTGGATTTGTCCTCCCTTTTCATTTCCCTCTAATTTCTGGCTACAGTGCTACTTAACTTCTTAAAATCTTAAACAAGGAAAATTCCTTAGGTCACAAAGGAAAAGAGCCAGGCTGGTGGAATGTCAGGCAGCAGAGCTGGTATTTGGGAGTACAAAATCCTTTAGGCTGTGTGACTTACACAGCTGCCAACTCCACCTCCATCCTAGGAAACTCCTGCTCCTTGCCCTCCAGGCAGCTTAACCAGTGATGAACTTTTCAAGGCAGAAAGACTGGAGTCTGCAGCATTGACCCTAAATCAGAGCCTACCCTAGTTTAAGAGCCCATCTTTCATTTTTAACTGTTTTATTTGTTCTGATTGTCTGGGTTCAACTATATCCTTAATAGCATAAAGATCTATACGAAGTTGGAAAAAAATT